GAAGTTACATGCCTGAATCGATGGATCCAGATAAGATGTTACTATGGGAGGATATTATTTGTGTGAGGTATTGCACCCCATTTCCTGTGCAGTGTCCAATTTGTTTGGAATATCCTCAATGCCCCCAAATAACTTCTTGTGGGCATATATTTTGCTTCCCGTGTATTCTGCAATACTTGTTAATGGGTGAGGAGGATCACAAAAGTGAGTGCTTTAAAAGATGCCCTTTATGTTTTGTAATGGTATCCCAGAAGGATTTGTACACCATCTATATTGAGAATGTTAGGCAATACTGTGTGGGAGATACCATAGAGTTTATGCTTCTAACAAGACAAAAAGATTCTTTTGTTTTATCTCAGAAAAATGAAAAGGAGATGGGTACCACACAGTTTGGTGACAAGGACATATATGATCCCTTTTCAAAGTTTACATTTACTTCTGATGTTGATCTGTCAGTCAGACAAGCAATATCAGATTTAGACAGCTGGTTGGCCAGAGCAGATGCAGGGCTTGTTGATAATTTGGAGAAGCTTCCGTACGTTTGTGCTGCGATGGAACAATTAGAACAGAGGAAGAAGTATTGGAATGAGCACCGAGCCTCTGATAACAATAAAGCCAGTAGAAACACTATTTGTAAGGTGGAGTCCCATGGACTTGTGTCAATTGTGAATGCTTCCAAGGGTAAAGGAGACACACGTGGTTTTGGAGGGGGAACACTATCTTCGGGGGCTGATGAACACAGTAAGTGTCTTTGTAACTCAACAACAGACAAGGCAAATGGAGGCAGTGGTTTGAATGGAAGTGCTGCTGTTGCTGAATCACTAGAAGCCCAAGACACATCTTTATCTTCATCATATGAAGAAAGCAAGAGCTTGCAAGAGCACTTTGGTGGCTTTAGAAATGCAAAAGACAATGACTCTTACACTTTCTACCAGGTGACTATAATTTAAGATGGTAATTTTACTAATATTTTTCTCTTTTTTTTTTTTTTGCAATTTTATATTTGCTGAGAAAGGAAAGGACTATTTCAGTTGTGAATCCTTATACAGGACTTCACCATGTGGCCATTTTCTTGATGAATAAAGTAGGAAATGAATATTTATGTCCTGTTTGAATAAAGTACAATATATTAGAATTATTAGGCTATTTGCAAGATTTTCTGTCATGATTCATAGCATGCTTTAGCTAGCCTAGGTTTTATTTATTTCTATGATGCGCCTTATTGACGGCTTATGCATTTGCATCTGCTGGTGGTAGGGATAATCGATGATGGTATAATTCTAGGTGTTAAATATATACCTTTCGTAGTTTCTTATCTTTCACTTTTATTTGTTTCAGGCAGTTGATGGGCAGCACATCATTCTCCACCCTTTAAATGTGAAGTGTCTCCTACACCATTATGGAAGCTATGATTCATTTCCACAGAGGTTTGAGGAAAACCATGATTTAGTGTTCACATGTGTATTAAGATATGGGATAGTGAAATTTAAAAATGTATGAAATCATTGACCGGGAAATGGAAATAAAAAAAAGGAGTATTTGGAAAAGTACTATTTCTTGGTGTCATCTATTTTATGTGGATTGCATGCTAACGTGACTTGTATAACTCTGGGTTTCCCTCTTTGTCATGTGTATGTATGTGTTTATTCCCAAATGGTTAAAAAAAAGTGTATTACATTGTTTTTATGGCCGGTGTATCATACATGACTTATGCTTCCTATTCCTTCATAATGTCTGTTCTTCCTTTTGAGGCCATCTCATATCAGTAGGGGAAACAATAATACTGATACTAATATCTTTGCTGATTGCCCTATGTCGTGGGTTACAATCCAGTTTTTTAATTAGAACTTACTAATTGCAGAATAAGTGGAAGGATTTTGGAGTTGGAAACCGTGACTCAGTCAGAGGCAGTGAGGAGGCGCTATCGGTATTTAAGTCATTTTTCCTTAACAACAACTTTTCAGGTATGGTTTTATTTCTGCACATTCTGTTTCCAGATCTTGCTTTGTCTGTTATTTTTCTGAAAACAAAAGTAGCCTCCTGTTTCAGCTTTGTGAAATTGATTTGAGCGGAGTTCTTCCTCCTGATGCTCTGCTTCCATTTATGGATGAAATCAAGAAGCGTGAGAAACACAGGAAGCAGCTGGCTAGAAAGGTAACGATACATGTACGAAATTGTTTTAATACACGTCCAATGTTCAAGCTTTAATGTTGTGGTGGAATCCAAGTCTATAGGTGATCATCAAATCCTTGATTTTATATGTAACGGAAACAGTAATTACACATGTTATTATTGGTATTTAGCAAAGCCAATAAAGTTAGGACTTAGAAGTCAAAAGGGAGTTATTTTAAGGGTCAGAAGGCTGTTGAAGATTCTGCATATTTTGAAACCTCAAAGGATATCAATGTTTTCTTTCCTGCTTTTCTCTCTCTCTCTTTCTCTCTCTCATTTTATTAGAATGTAAAATGAATTTCTGGGTTATCATAAGTTGTAGTTCAAGGTTTTTCTCTGAAATGTAGTGCCATTTTGTTGAGAAAGTGTAACTTGACTTTGTCCATGCTTTTAGAATCATATGATATTTTGATTTATAGGAGCGGAAGGAGAAAATCAAGGCTGAAGTTGCAGCTGCAGTGCAATTTACACCCATGATATCCAGTTTTGGGCAGTCCTCTTATAATGATTCCCCTACATTCTCTATGGATGACTTTGAAGGTAATACTGTGTTTAATTAGTTATAATATGTTGCATTTGGTCTTATCAGTATGCCTTGCATGTTATTTGGGAGTTGTAGTCATGTTTGATCCGTCTGGACCCAGAAACAATACGAGAACCTTGTCCCATGTTGCAATTGTTTTCTCATTAAGCTGTTTATATTATGTTTTTAATGTTCTCCTATGCAGCCCTTGGAAGTTCTTCTATGATATCATCCAGTCCTGTTGTCATCGGGGAGAGAAAATTGTTCTCAAACGTTACAAAGCTTGGTTTTGCTGCTGCGCATGATTCTCCTTCATTGAAAATTGATGAAGGAAATACTGTGCAGAACAATGAGGTGGCAACTGATTCCACAGGTAATACTCTGATGCCTAACGTAATGTTGTTTGTCCTACTTGATATTTTCAAAAGGATATGATCTAAATCTCCTTCTTCAGTTCTTCAGATCTTAATATGTTTCTTAAAAACTGATTCTCAAACTCCTCAACCCTATGTTAACTTTCTCCCTTTTGTGTTTCTGCAGGCTCAAAAAATTCAGGCACGCCTTCATTTGCTAATGTAATATCGAGAGCAAAGGCTGTTGAAAATTTGGACACGCCTAAGATGAATGAGATGGGAAAGAAAGGAAAGAAAGCAAGTCGGGTCCTTCTGTCAACAGCTGGTGGTCGACGCTATTGACATCTTGGCATGAACTCAACTTTGTTTAGCTTCGTAACCAAGAAAAAGAGAATGACTTTTGCTTCCATATCATCTTTGTGAATTAACATGCATAGTTAAGGGTGACATTGGTAGAATAAAATGTTAAAACACCTCCTGTTATGTAAATCCTTGGTGTGGTTCCTCTTCTTCCTTTTTTCAGTATAACCTTGTCATGGATAAGGGTTATCCATATGTCCTTTTCTCAATGCTAGAACATTGCAATATTTGACTCTGCTTAACAAACTTGTAGAGATTCCTACTTATCAAATGTCAAAATTGGAACTACATCTGGAATATATATGTTTCTGGTAAGGTGTACAGAAGTATTAGATAATCATTCAGTATGAAATATAACACCAGAAGCTTCAGTATTTTTCCACAAAAACACAAAGATCCAATGGTAGAAGCAAAGACCAGGAATATAGCAAGGAACCTTATGGTAGTTCACTATTCTGAAACTACTCTGAAACCGTTTTGGAAGAAGGCATGCAACGCTACAATAGGTTAAAATAACATAAGAACAATGGTACTGTGATCATAGGAGATATTGAAGTTAACTATTTATCATCTAGCATCTAGAATCCAGAGATGTACTGCTGAGCTTGGGAGGCAATGCATCAAGTTCAAGATGCCAAGAGCCTTTGGGGATTCCGTATAACTCAATTCCTTCAACAATATAAGCTGGCACCTGGTGAGAGAAACGGACCATTTCTTTCCTTGTAACTGCCTGGCACAGCTCATGTCCATTTTGCAGCTGTCTTTTTGAAGAAAGATTTCCGGCCTGGCACCTCTATCAAGCTGACTGCAATTAACCAGATTCTTCAGAGAAATCCTTAACAATTTCAACAATCTAATATTGGTGGTGACTGTTAAAATCTGCACGTTTCCTTGTGCCATCCCCGTTTTTGTACATAGCTCAGACCTCAACCTTCTAGGGATATATCTTGTACAAAGACTCCTCCTCAATATTCTCGCACTTTACAGTATGTGAAAACCGAGCCAAGTCCAAGTTAAGAGTGGTTTCACCACATCTAAATAATCCACTTGCAAATGGCAGATTGTCTTGAAGCCAGGATATATCTTCATCAAGCATGGGGTGCTGTTCTAGTAAAGTCACACAAACGTTGCTCCATGAAATAACATTGTTTACCACTACATATCTTCGAGGCATCAAATCTTGCCCATCATACATAGCCCATATTTGTTCTGGAATGAAATCTTTTAATGACCACTTATGTTTTAGTGATATCACCTCTGCATTTGCTGGTTTATGAAGAGGGGTGGCATGGTTGAGTGTCAAGGTGGATTGATAGCGACTCCCTCTTGTCATGTACCAGTCCAAGACACTGGGAACAGCCAAGTGGTCAAGCTCAAACATCTCATCTGATAAACTATCCATCTCTTGATCACCAAATCTATAAGCTGGAATCCTGTGGAGAATTCGTACAAGCTTTCCGCAGGTATTGCAAAAGAATAATCACTGTTATTGTTGGTGCATCTTCTGAAGACATTTTTAGGTCCCTGGATTTTAACCAAGCATTTGACCACAACATCTGCCAAATTGAAATAGCCATCAATGATTTCCACTATTTCCAGTCTGCATTCCTTCCTAGCTCTGGGATTTGAGAGCCACTCCAATAGCCTCCAGTCTCTGTATATTGCCCAAACCTCACCAGTCTGGGGGTAAATTTCAATTTGTTCACTTGCATGCATAGATATCAAGTGGGAGAACAATGTTGGCTCAACCGCTGTTCTTTCGTTCCTATCCAAATTGAATCAGCCACATAGAACAGGCATCTTTAATTCATACCATTTTCTCTCATGGGCTGTAACTGGAACAGGTTTGAACCAGCTGACGTGCAATCTGAATGGGAATTCATCTATGCAAATAATCTGTGCATATCTTCCAGGCATGCCTTCTTCATCGTAAGTAACCCAAACCTGACCAACTGAATATAGTTCTGCCTTTCCAGTATTATCAAAGGTGTAATAGTCTTGATTGCAATTCTCAAGACGGGATGACTTCTTGCTAGGATCAGAGAGAAACATTTGAGGGGGAAAACTTGTCATGAGGTTTCCCAGCCATTGTGTCAATACTACTCATAGCACAAGCAGTACAGCTTGCTTCTTGATCATAGATCTCCTTTTTCTGTTCACCAACAAATTGAGCCTTCAAAATGACTGATTGAGTAGGTAATTTAGAATCATGGACCTGCCTTTCTCCAAGGTAAGTGGAGACTTCTGCATCCGTAATTATCTTTGACACAATCTCCATTGAATTGCTATCATATATGTTTCCATAGCCATCCCCAGTCTTGTACGAACCCATTCTCCACCTTTTAGAACTCCGGGAATTCTCATGTCTTTGAATCAAAATTTCTGTTGCCAGCTGGGAATCCATAACATTGTTTTCATTGGAGATCCTGGATTCACAGGACTCCTGATTTCTAGCTCTCTTAATATCAAACATTTTGCACGTCTCTTGATGTAAGAGCACTGAAAATGCATCTTGGACGATTCTCAAGGCTGATGCAGCACCAAGAAAGTTGTTTAGAATGGGTTCTAGCAGAGTAGTAAACTTGTTGTATATAGATTTTATCTCAGAACTAGTGGCTTCAGGGGGGATTTGAAGGACAAAGTAGAAATCAAAATCCATGAATTTGAGAGCAGCAGAAAATAAGATGTCACAAACAGCCATCATGCCAGCGATGTTATCAACCGCTGGAAAATCACGTTTTACTTGTAATAACATCTTTCTGGCACCCAAGTAATCGCCACCAGAAATCTTCTCCTTTGCCACCTCTATTTCCTGAAGGTCCTTGGGCACAAAACAAACCATCTTTGAAATGGTTGAGGACTGTTGCAAAGAGTTTCACTTCCAGATCAAGATTTTTATTATAAACCAACTACTCACTCAACGACAATTACTGCACTGAAGCTTTGCACGGTCACCTAGTCCTGCATGATTTAGATAAAAAACAAAAAAAAAAGGAAGCTTCAATCATATACACGATGAATGACACAGTGGCTGCTATCATTAGCAGCACCACCTGCCACCTATAAGCAAGACCAATACTAAAGATCTATTTCCTTTAAAGTCGTTTAAATTTGCAGTCAATACAAGAAAAAAGCTCTAGAAATTAAGTCTCACAGTTACTCTTCTAGTAAATTAAATGCCATATATGACCACTGTAAGTGAGAAGTGAAAAGGGTGCATCTTTTGTGTCTTGGTTCTTCAATTTTCATTCTATGTGAATAACCTTTAGATGCATGACAGGCCAAAAGCAAATACAGAGGTTTCCAGGGTCTCAAAGGGTTGAGGGAATTGGTGTTTGTGCAAAGGGAAGCAAATGGCATAAATCTAGGTAAGTCCATAAAACTACAATCGTAGACAAAGTTTCATAAAGACAAGTTAACAAAACCCTTAAATAGAAAAGTAATAAATGCTTAAACAGAGAAAGTTGGGAAAAAAGGGTAACCAAAACTCACTCTTTCGAGTCAATAAGTTTCCTCTGAAAAGGCAGAAGCCATTAAATAACAGCCATTAGAACCAGAAAAGGCAGAACCCATCAACCAAAAAATGACCTTATTCTTGCTCCTCTCATATGTCTTAATGGAGGTTCACAAGAAAATGCAGTGCAGAAACTCTTTTCCTTTTGTTCTTGCTCAATAGTACAACCGTAAAAAATATATGGTACAACACCTAAATAAAGTTTTTGAAATATTGAAGAAAATTCGCATAATTTTTTTTAATTTTTTCAATAAAAACTTGTAATTTTATTTTTAACGAAATAAATTATCTTAATTAACTATTATTAATTAAAATATATCAATTCATGTATAATTTATGTAACATATTATAATATAATGTAATATGTTAACATGATATGATAAAATAATTATTTGATATTTACACTTTCAAATCAATATCAAAAATAACAAAATAATCAGTTACATTTTAATTAAAAATAATTAATTATTAATTATAAAAAGATTATTTAATTTAAAATGAGTTAATTTAATTTAATAAAAAATAAAAATTTATTTAAATAATTTAATTTTTTTTTCAAATATTATGTTAAAATATATAAACCCAGTGCCAATATTTCTTGTCTATATTTCCACGCGTCTCAGTACTTCATCAGTAAACCATTGGCCATGAAAATGAAAAGAACTTGATTTGGGTAATTTAAAAAGGAAAGAAGAACGGGAATTAGATGCTTTTCAAAACTGGGTTGATTCGATTATGATGTAAACTATATATATATATGAATCATTTGTGATCTATTGATTCAAAGTTCAACTCTTAGGCAGCTCCAATGAATGGGGAATAAGCTTGAGTTTCTGATGTGGTGTTGGTGTGGATAAGGTCTGGAATTTTGATTTTCAGCTGCCTCATTGGATAACATTCCTGTAATGAGGATAACTGGCCTGAATAGACAGCTTGATCACCGAACTGCAGCTGCTTCATTGGTTGTTCAGTATTGGACTCCTGCTGCTTCAATTCTTCTTTGTTTAACTGCTGTGTCTCACATTTCAGCTTGTTTCCTTGCACTGCTAAGTTGGTTGTGGTTGCTTGAAGATTGATTCTCTTTACATAATAAATGCCAAGGCAGACATTCATAATTCAGCTTCAGTTCACTCCTTCAATATTTCAGAACTAAAGATCAGTTCACTAGCTCACCAGTAATTGTATATCATGCCGTAAGAACATATGCATCCAGTGTCTTTAGATTTGAAAAACAAAAAAAACTTTATTGCTGTTCCAATATTACTGTTCATTAAACTTGATGATCATCCCCATTATCTGCTAATAATTAAGTAGGTTAAAGGTAAACGATTTTAATTTGCTTTTTATCATGATCAACCAATCATAAATTTTGATTGACAGTGTTGAAATTAATTTTGCTTCTTCTTTGCTTTGTATGGTAGATGAGTAATCGTTCAAGCTAATTTTTGTGTATTTTGGTAGATATATAGTCATAGCTTCCTTCATTTTCATAATGTCATGCCTCCCGAAGCATGACAAGCCAAGAGTGATACTTTCCATTGTATGAATAAGATTCACAGAAAATATCTTAAAAGTTTTCAAAATATCTCCAACATGATTGGAAAATGCCAAAGCTTCTCCTTCTCTTAAGAGGGTGCCAAGTAAGTAAAAAGGAACCCTTATCCCGAGTGGGTTGGAAATATCTTGCTGTAACCTTGTGCTATAAGATCAAACCTTGCCTCTCCGTGAAACATACTCCACCAAGTTTGACAAAACCATTATCCAAATTCCAACATGCAGGCAGCTTTGAGCATTGCACCAGCACCCTTTCTCCCTACTTTCTCAGCTCCCTCCAAAGTGAGTTCCTCTACAAGGTTGGGATCCTCCATTGCTCCCCGTCGCGTTTCGATCAAAGCAACCGCCACCACCTACGACACTTCCACAGTTGACTACAGCTCTATGCTCTCGTAAGCCTTTTTCTTTTCTTTAGTACTGATTCAAACTGGATAGCTGCATCTGCTGCTTAATTAATACTAATTCAACCAAAAGAAAAACAATGCATGGCTAGAGCTAGCTAGAACCATCTGCCAAGGATGAACTAAACATCACTTGTTCTGGTCACCTGGAAACCGGTACGAGATCATAGCTGGAAAAAATAAGTTTCTAGATTAGTTGGGAACAATTGTTGTTTAACTGAACACGAAGAGACTTGCACTTGTGACAGTGTGTTTCCAGCAGAGGCATGTGAGACAATCGGTGGAGATGCGTGCCAGGCAGACATATACCCTGAAGTAAAGCTACAACCAGAGGCCAGAAACGACTCTCCCAGGACCGCAACCGAGTTGATTGACAGAGAATATCTCGAGTACAACGATGCAAAAACGTATTACTCTCATTCGCAAGAACCAAAACACCATTTTTCACATCAGAGAATGAAATCTTGGATTGATATTTGAGGTTGAGCTAACCATGGTTAATCTGTTCCACAGGGTTTTCTGTGCTGAGGCTTGCGATGATCTGGGTGGAGAATTCTGCAGCCGGGAGTACCAAAGAGGAGTGTATTAGATAACAACTGACCAAGCCATATCCGGAACACAAGGAACATCGTTACCAGCTTTCAGGATTAATGAAGGATTGCATATGTATATATAATTTTCTGCACTTTGGCTGCATAGCTTCTTAATTTCCTTAATGATATCTAGTTTGATATGGAGAAGAAGAGAAATTAAAGAAAAAATTATACCATATGTTGCCAATAATAATATTATCCTAGTACAATAACCAAGCTGGCCGGACTCTTGGGTCTTGCCAACAGAGAAATAGTCTAATAGACAAAAGCATCTTAATCAGGATTATTAATTTATTATGTCCTATAGGCTATGATTTCTCTTGAAAACCTGCATGCTCTTCTATAAGCTTTAACATGTAATAACTGCCACCCAAAAAATAAGTAACAAGTAGGATAAGCCCTTTGCTGAGTGTTTGGTCTATTTTAAAATTTCAAAAGTCAAATTAATTCAATTTTTTTTTAAAAAAATAGTAATGGATTTGACTAATTCTAATATTTTATATTTTAAAAATATTAATAATATATATTATTTATGAATGGTTCGATCGTAAATTTTGAATATTAAAAATCGATCAAAATCATCTAACAAATTATCCGATCTAATTGATTAATACTGAAATCAAAAAATTCAAAATAAATTAATCGAATTCAATTGATTTTAATCAGTTATTTAAATTCATATCAATTAATACTTAGTCTTTTTTATTTGAAGTAACAAGCTGTGCATCAACAAGTTAGATATTCCAAGTATAAAAGATGAATTTGTATATGATTGATAAATGGTTTTAAATAGGAACATTTATAAAGAAATGTAAATGAACACTAACAAGTTATTTCTAACAAAAATAAAATTCTGGCACAAAACAATTATTGCAAGTTATTACTGCTAGGTTATAGTAAAAGCAATTGTAGTGAAGTAAAAACAAGTTTCCATTGTGAGTCTTTGCTGATTTTTTTCTCACTTAAACTAAAATAGAAAACTTTTGAATTAAAAATTTTGATTTTTATATATTTATATTAAAATTTAAAAATTTCTATAATATAAATATTTTAAATTTTTATATAAAAATAAAAAATTACAAACAAATTGTAATATTAAAAAAGAAAAGTATTCGGTATCTAAAAAAATCATTATGTGACGTAAAAATACACAAAAAATAAAAGAAAAGAGTAACTATTGCGATTGACTTAAAATTAATAATTTAATTATTATTATTATTATTATTTTAAATTGAAAAAAGGGATTAACTAATAATAATGGTACATTTTAAGAAAATAATTTAATGAGTTGAAGTATGCCGCCATTTTGGCGGTTGGGTGGACTCCTAATGAGACCATACAGACCGAACATTGCACTCAAAAACGTCGCTTCCCTTGGCCCCTCCCAACCTCCGAACTCGCTGCGACATGTCGAAACTTTGGTCGACGCCCGAAGCATCAAAACGGGTTTTGATCGAAACACATGTCGCTCCAATTTTATGGTCGAAAGTTTCCTCAAACAGGGCAACCTGTGGGAGGCACGTCAACTGTTTGACCAGATGCCAAACAGGAACACTGTCTCGACCAACATGATGATTTCGGGGTATGTGAAATCAGGTGATCTTTTGAGGGCTAGACAAATGTTTGATGCCATGCTTGATCGGACTGCGGTTACGTGGACCGTTTTGATTGGCGGCTACTCGCAGAAGAATCAGTTCCGCGAAGCGTTTAAGCTTTTTGCAGAGATGCGAAGGCGCGATACGGAGCCTGATTATGTGACTTTCGCTACTCTTTTATCAGGTTGCAATGATGCTGGTGTGGACAGGGAATTGATCCAAGTTCATGCTTGTGTTGTTAAGTTGGGGTACGAGTCGAGTCTCATCATCTGCAATTCGATGGTTGATTCTTATTGCAAAACGAATCACCTTGATTTGGCTTGTCGGGTTTTTAATGAGATGCCTGAAAGAGATTCTGTTTCTATTAATGCATTGATCACAGGGTTCTCAAAAGATGGTCTATATGAAGATGCAATAGCCCTTTTTCTGGAGATGCAAAATTTCGGTTACAAGCCTTCTGATTTCACTTTTGCAGGAGTTTTAAGTGCAGGTATTGGATTAAATGCTTTAGCCTTTGGGCAACAAATTCATGGTTTATTGGTGAAGACTGGGTTTGTTTGGAATGTGTTTGTGGCGAATGCATTGCTTGATTTTTACTCGAAGCATGACTGTCTAGTTGAAGCTAGGAGATTTTTTGATGAGATGCCAAACTTGGATGGCATTTCTTACAATGTGATCATCACATGCTATGCGTGGTTTGGGGAACATGAAAAAGCTGTTAGACTTTTTCGTGAATTACAGTTTACGCAATTTAATCAGAGGCAATTCCCATTTGCAACCATGTTGAGTATAGCAGCAAATACACTCGACCTGCAAATGGGGCAGCAAATTCATTCCCTAGCTATTGTGACTACAGCTGATTCAGAACTTCTGGTTGGAAATTCTTTAGTTGACATGTATGCCAAATGCGGCAGATTTGAGGAAGCTGAAACAATATTCAGGAGTCTGGCCCATAGAAGCACTGTTCCATGGACAGCCCTGATCTCAGGTTATGTTCAGAAAGGATTCCATGAGGAAGGCCTGAATCTGTTCAATGAGATGCACAAAGCTGGTGTAAGAGCAGACCAGGCCACATTTGCTAGCATCTTAAAGGCATCTGCAAATTTGGCTTCACTATCACTGGGGAAACAGCTTCACTCATTTGTAATCAGATCAGGTTTCATGTCCAATGTTTTTTCAGGAAGCGGACTTCTGGATATGTATGCAAAATGTGGTTCCATAAAAGACGCCATTCAACTATTTCAGGACATGCCTGAAAGGAATATAGTCTCTTGGAACGCCTTGATCTCAGCCTATGCTCAAAATGGTGACGGTGAAGCCACCCTTGACTCATTTGAAAAGATGGTTCAGTCAGGTTTCCAGCCAGATTCTGTTAGCTTCCTCAGTGTTTTGTCCGCGTGCAGTCATTGTGGGCTTGTTCAAGAAGGATTAAGATATTTCAGATCCATGACTCAAAGCCATAAACTTGTTCCAAAGAAAGAACATTATGCATCCATGGTCGATATGTTTTGCCGGAGTGGACGATTTAATGAAGCAGAGAAGTTGATGGCTGAAATGCCATTTGATCCTGATGAGATTATGTGGTCATCGGTTCTAAATTCTTGTAGGATTCATAAGAACGAAGAACTGGCTAGGAAAGCTGCAGACCAGCTTTTCAGAATGGAGGTGCTTAGAGATGCTGCTGCATATGTCAGCATGTCTAATATCTATGCAGCATCCGGCCAGTGGGACAATGTTGGGAAGGTAAAGAAGGCAATGAGGGACCGTGGAATTAGAAAGGTTCCAGCTTATAGCTGGGTTGAAATAAGACACAAGGTCCATGTGTTCTCAGCAAATGATATGTTACATCCCCAAAGGGAGGAAATTCGGAAAAAGATTGATATGTTGTCAGAACAGATGGAAAAGGAAGGTTACAAGCCTGATACAGGCTGTGCCCTTCACGATGTTGATGAGAAAATCAAAATTGAGTCTCTTAAGTACCACAGTGAGCGGCTAGCAATTGCATTTGCGCTGATTAGTACACCTGAAGGATCGCCAATACTGGTGATGAAGAACTTAAGGGCATGCACAGACTGCCATGCTGCAATCAAGGTAATATCAAAAATAGTTGGTAGGGAAATCACAGTGAGGGATTCAAGCAGGTTCCATCATTTTAAGGATGGCATCTGCTCTTGTGGGGATTATTGGTGAGTTTTTAGAGGTTATTGCCTTGTTGATTGGCCTGACATAACGTTGTAGCACCGATCTCACCTCTGTACAAGATAGATCACTCTGGCGGGCTCATAGTGTGTACACAAGGGACCATGGTATTGATAATTATTTTGAGAGACTGAATATATAATGATATCACAACCATTCCTGAGTAATTCATGCAGCAGCTGCTATCTAAATGGCATTGGCAAATGGCAAGTAAAGAAATGATTACAAAAGCATCATAATCGAGCTTGGAATTTGTTCATGAAAAATGGAAACAGATTAGAAATATTGCAGCAAAATTAGTGTATCGCAGAGGTGCAGGAACAGTAAACATCTGGAATAGACTTGTTTTTTTTTTAAAGATGAGTTTTTATTAATGATAAGCCGGATACGGAATAAACTAGTTTGCCTGTCAACACGGAATAGACTTGTTAGCCAAGTACTCTTGCAACCTCAAGGCGATTTTGGACTTGAGGAATTATTGACAGGCAAACTAGTTGCTGAAGAATTATTCACTGGTCTTGCCTGCCCGATGTTGGATTTAGTGAACCAAGTTGTATACAGAAATTGTTTGTGAGGCCCGACATGGTTGCATATTAGCCTAAGCTTCTGTCTCTCCCTCATCCATCTCAGCACTATCTTCATATGCCTCTTGCTTGTAAGCCCTCTCAATCCAACCTCCTGAAACCATTTTTACATCAATAAACCTGTTAAGAGTCAAAGGCCAGCATCACCATGATACAAAGAGCAACTCTTGTTATAGTTAGATGAACTTTTTAAACATCATACTAATAACAGAATGACTTGATACGGGGTGTGAATTTCAATATTAAAATTTTGCAAATGAAAGATTAATTGCAAGAACAACAGACCTTGACCCGTTCCCAAGTATCACCTACAGTGAGGGGGCCATGCTCCTTGAGAATGTCGAAGATAACTCTGGTTATGGTCTGCGTTTGCTCTGGTGGCGTTTTGAGCTCGATTGGCTTCATTTTCGGCTTGGGTTTTGTCGAAAAATATCGAATCGCACTCCCAAACATCTTGTCTTTGTTCCCTTACCCAATTCGATTTTGCAGTGATTGAACAGAGTCTGATTGCTTTCATCGAAAATAACAAGAGCAACACAAAGTTTTAGTAACAGATGGAACAAGAAGAGAACCGGAAAAAGCAAGTAAAAGAATAAAAATCTACCTCCTTCCACACTGCTATTGCAGCTACAAATGAGTAATTATCGATGATTCAAAGGACAAGGAGCTAGAAAGAGAAAGAAAAAAGGGCGGTTGCTCGGTGCAGGGTTGCAGAGAGTGAACTTTCGAAGAGCTCTGTTTTTGTAGTACACCCTTTTGCCCTTAGTAATTCTGGGCTTTGATTTTATCCTTATAAACTAGTTCTTTTTGGGCCCGAAGGTCATCTGGAAAGTTTCTTTAGCTGTCAGACCCAGATGATTTTGCTTCTTAGTTGATTCATGCTTGCAGGGTAGAACAAATCAACAAAAAATGTTTTGTTTCTTCTTGGTTGCTTCTTCCTGGGAAATTTATTTTAATGGTCTGAAAATTGAAGCTATGAAACCAGCTTTATGCCCTTCATCAAAAACAAAAGAAACTCATCTCTAACTGAAACTGGGGTATCAATTTAGAGTTCTTGCTCTTTTATTCCATCTTGATTCTGATGAAGGTTTTTGATTATCTCTTCACAAACTGTGGCCTTCAGCAATTCTTTGTTCAGTTTTTAAGTATTTTCTAAAATTCAGACCACTTCTCAGGGATGTCTCTTACAGATTAAAGTCTTAAGTTTGTATACTGTAATATTGCATTTTCCTTCTCTTCTACAAACTATGGCATTGCATATGAGATAATTTGAAATGTACTCTTGAGCATAAAGTATACCAAATTATACTTTAAAAAAACAAAATCCATAGAATCATTAAATCATAGATAGCAAATGTTTGTAGCTGAAAAGGGTATTCATCAAATTTTGGACTTTCATATACACTAAAACCCAAATCATTGATGAAAACCACCAGATTCTCAAATGAAAAACATTGAACACATTGAGTATTTCAACTAAGGTTCAACTTCCTGGAAAAACATAATCTTATTCCAACCCCACTCCCAGTTTACCTACTCAAGGAACAGCTTCCATGTACTCTTGAGAATAAAGTATATACCAAATTATACTTAAAAAGCAGAAAAAAAAAAGCCTTATAATTATTAAATCAGAGATAGCAAAGGTTTGTAGCTGAAATGGGGATTCATCAAATTTTGCAATGTCATATAAACCAAACCCCAAATCCAGATTCTCAAATGAAAAACAATGAACACATTGAGTTTTAGTTAAGCTTCCAACATCCTGGAAAAACATAATCTTATTCAAACTCCACTCCCATTTACCTACTCTATCACAAACCCAGAAGTCATAATCCAATTGCAATCCACAAGATATTCATTAATCTCATCTTCAGAAGAAAGACCCAGAAAGTAGAAAAAGATAAAAAGCAAGCAGAAAATTTTACTACATTAGATTTCATTCCTAGATAAAGGATAACTTCTGTCGACAAAAAGAAACAAAACACAAGTACATGTAACATAAAGAAATCCAAAATTGAACCCAACAAAGGTTTTTTTACTTCTTGTTCTTGTTAACAAATTCATCAGGGACAACTTGAAGCAACTTCTTCTGCTTAGACTTGGCAATCTTCTTCAAAGTATTGGGATTGGTAATCTTCTGAAACTTAGTCCCAGACCTCAAAATGTTCTCTTTCTTCTTCTTCTCCCTCTCCTCTCTCTTCTTTCTCTTCTCAATCTTGTTTTGCCTAATCTCTTCCTTCAGCTCATTCATCCTCTCCTTGTAAGCTCTCTTTATCTCCTTCTGCCTCTCTCTTTCCTCCAAAGTCGTCCGCTTTACACTCACGTGCTTCGCGGAAGCACGCTGCTTTCGTGGCTGCTTCCAGTTCCGACCCGACAACTTTCCCGCAATCACGCCGTCGTAGGTCGGTCGACCGAAGGTGGGTTTGTCGGGGTCGTCAGAGGAAGGCAACGCAGAGCGCTTCGCGGGTGGGGGACAAGAATCGTCGACGTCCATGGACGTAGCCGCGGCGGCAGCAGCATCATCGTTGCTGCTGGCAGTGATTTGCGATTCTTGGCGCTTTCGCTTGTAAGTTTTGCCGCCGAAGCCTTCATCTAGGCGGCGGAAATCTATTGTGCAAGCCATAAGCTCCGAACCAGGCTCTGTGAACCAACCCTAAGGCTCAAAGGACTTGCAATCCACGAGGTTTGTGTGTTATATAGCTGGAAAGTTTGCTGGGGCTTTAGGTGAAGCTCCATGAAAGTAAGAACAAAAGAGCTCGACCCTCTTAAAAGAACTTAATTGGGCTGTGTGGTGACTCACCTTAAGCCCGTGAAAGACTGACTCAAAAATTTGCCCAGTGAAAGCCTGAACCCAAAAACTGGGCCTAGTAAGGCCTTATTTAGTTGGAGATGTAAATTGGGCTTCTCCTTCCAAAGTTTTCGTTGAAGCTGATAATTACGGACTAATATTAATCGATTTTAAACGAATAAATTCATCAAAATCAATTGAATTCGTTTTCAGTTTTAAACGACTAACACGTTTATTAAACGTGCTGATATTTTTTATACGATACAATAAGATTAATAAATATAATTAAACATAATTTTTTCTAACACGTTTAACACAATTAAATAAAAATATTTATAATTAAATATAATTTTACTATTTAAATTTAAAATCAATAATTATAAAAACAATTATGATAAAACAACAATAACATCAAACATAATAAAATTTAATATAAATAGCATACATAAAATTCATTATCATACTAATAAAATCCATCATTAACATCTAACCTTAAAATACTGGTAACATCTAAAATAATCCGTAATTTTCAATCATAATTAAATAAATATCGTTAACCACATCATTAACCATGAACAATTTCAAACTTCCAAATCAAAATTGAAAATTTGCTCGCCAATGTCACATCATTTCAGTGTCACAAAACCTAATAATGAAATGGAAACAATATATTAATAACATTAGGTCAAAATAAAAAAAAAAGTTAAATAAAATTTAAAATTTGGTTTAAAACATTACCTTTCATTGATGATTAATTGACATTAACAGTATTAAAGCATTTGGCTGATGTCAGTTCTTTTTTACTAATATCTAAATTTATGACATCCGCGATAAGATTGTTCACTTTTGTTTCTACAGATGCTACAATATAAAAAATATATTATTAAAAACATGTAAATAAAGTAAACTTATTTTAATCATGCATTTAAACACAAGAAACATAACCAAAAATAAATGAAAGAATATATTATCAATTTCTCTAAATAGCCAATCCTTACAACATAAAATTGCCTCCACAATATTTGATTTAAGTGAGCTCAGATATTGATTAAGAACTCTACCATCAACACTAAAAAAAAATTCAAAAGCCACAACCGATGTAGCAATGGTCAAGATATCTAAAGCCATGGCAGAAAGCTCACGACAATGAAACTGATTTGTCTTCCAAAATTGTAAAATATCCAATTCTATTGTCGTTTCAATACTTTGTTCATCTAAATATTACTCTAGTTGAGATTTGTTCTTGGCAGCCCCAAACTCACTTTGAAAATTGTTAAACTCCTAATTAATAAAAACAAAATAGTTAAAAAATATTAAAATAAAAAATAACAAAAATATTAAATTTTCATAAAAATAATATTTCAAAAATTAAAAAAAATTACCATTGTGTAGAGGTGGCATAAAGGAAAAATTCAAAATTCTTTTCTATAGAACTTAATTTTTGTCAACAAAATAAGCAGTAAGACAAATATACCTATCAGTAACAATAAAAGTCCACAAATCAGAAGTTAAGTCAATCCTACTCGGTGATTCTTGAAACAAGTATTATATCTTGCATCTTTTTCTTTTATACATCTTAATTATATCAGCTTTAACAGTGTTCCAAAAGATCATAACAATATCCTCACTCAAATAAGATAACATAAACCTAATTCCAGTATAATCCACAAATGATAAAGGTAGATTATGCATCACAATTGCAACTGTCACTGATTCACGAAACTTTTCAAGATCAAACTTTGAAAATTTCATTAACATTGAATTATGTTGCTTTGAAAAAATCATGTGACCTATATCACATGTGTCTTTCCTAATACAATTTTCATTATGATGTTTCAAATTACCTATCCGATAGTTGCTTGATGTGTGCATCAAATACATATATTTAATGAGAGATTAAATACCTAAGTAGTCTAAGTTAGACTAGATTTAAGAGCGGATTTAGGTGTTTTTATTTATTTTAGTCGTTTAGTTTAATTTATATTTAAATATTTATTTTAAGTTAATAATGTTACTTTTATGTTATTTATATTTACTTTTATGTTTTTGTAGGAGTAGGATCAAAAATAATTTCAATTGTTGAAGAAAGTTGCATAATGGACTGGTACTCTGTTTGCATATATTTTGATTTTTCAAGCATATCTCTCACTACAAAAGTCCAAATGACATGATTTTTGAACCATTAGAAGGCTAAGAGCAGGGCTACAACTTTGATGCTTACCACTTTACCCAATTTTGATCAAAAAGTGGTCAAAATCTTTATCAAATTGAAAATAATGCACTAGAAAAACAAAATTAAGCAAAACCTTTGAGAGACGCTACTCTGGAAAATGAGAGCTACAGCACTCAACGTATTTTTCAAAATTAACAAGCTTATTGGATTTTGAAAGTTAGGGCTTTTGAAGGCTATTTAAGGAGCTTTTTTAGAGGTTTCTAGGATGAGGCAGCCAGTAATTTCTCTAAAGAAAAAAAGCTAAAAACAAAGCAAGAAAACAAGAAAATTAGAGGGAGAATCAAGATCTCAAAGCTTCAACTATTAGTTTTCTCTCTCAACTTTTGTGTTTTTCTTATTTTCTTTGACTTAGATTAATGGCTAATTTTCTTTGGATGAAGTTTTTATTAGATATTATGAACTAAATTATTTTTCTAGGATTGTAATTGAACTCTTATGTAATCTAAACTTTTAATTCCTCTTTGCTTATCTTTAATGAGATTTGAATTGTTTATTCCATTTGTTCTCAATACTTGTAATTGCCTGATCACTAATTAAATTGATTTAAAAATTTAAACAAACTTGGAAAAGAGAGCTTAGTGTAGACTAAAATTGAGATAGCATATGATTATATTAATTGATTTGCGTATAAGATAGATATATACCTACAGGTCATATGTAGCCAAATTAAAACTTGAACTTAATGAGTCTATTTTAATTTCAATTCAGATAGGGATATAGTATTTTGGTTAAAATAGATATTTTTATAAAATAAGTAGGTAGACCCTTGTAAGTAATTGAGGATTCTAGGTTAGCAATTCAACTCATTAAAATAAGTTAAGGAAGAAAGGTAAAATTTAGATGAAATGTGAGGGATATTATAATCCTAGGCTTCTTTTATTTGCATTTTACCACATTATTTTGTTGCTTTAATTTTTCATTAAATTAGTTTTAGTTGAGTAATTTTAAGTTTAATTTGAATTCAGATTTTAATTATTTGAATAAAACTAAATTGTTCTAATTTTAATACTTAGTAAAATTTTATATCAATTCTCTGTGAGATCGATACTCTGCTTGCTTATATATTATTTATTCTATACATATACTTGTGTAGTAGAATTTTATCAGACATTGCTTTCACAATTCAAGACATACCCACTGAGCTTGCACTTCGCTTTTGGTTTTCCATCACTTGAGTGTTTTTTCGACAAACGTTCAAAGAATGCCGAAACCTTTGAAGTTAACTTTCGTTTTTTGTGTTGGTATGGCTTCCTTTCATATGTATATCCTACCTCATCAATCTGTACACATTCATCAAATTCTTCCACAAAATGAATATTTGATTCAGCAGAAATATTCATATTGTAAAATTTCATATACAAACATCAACAACATAAATAACATCAGAAAACTTTATATATATATATATATATATTAAGTTTGACATTGTCGAATCTAGACAATAAATAGAACAATGTGCACAACAAAATTAGAAACATAATTCACTTCAAAAGTAGACAATAACTTTGTTTAAATAAATTGAAAATTTTTTTTGAAATGGCGTTGCTACTGCCATTAGGATAGATTTGCCGAAGCTCTATCACTAAGCTTGTAATTGAATATAAGTTTCAATCATCAAGCAACCTAAATATCACCAACATACAATCAATTTTTTTTAAAAAAAAAATAAAAGGCAAAACCACTATGCGTTTACATCAGTAGAATTTCAAGATGCCAATGTAAGAGTCTAGCCTTGATAAAGGCGAGAGACTTGTTGCAACAAGTTACAGCCAACAAATGTCAACTAGTATTCTAAATGTGATAAAAGAGTCATATCAAGATCCACCATATGGTTTTAAATAAAATATTGTCTATTTCATGATTCTCCATAAGACAGATTTAGGAAAACTGAAATGCCTAAAAGAAAGAAATTGATTTGTGAGATGTTATATTACTTCTTTTGAGTTATTCTCTTATATTCGTTCCTACTTATGTGAGAGAATATATATGTGTTCTACATTGAAATAAACTTGATATCAATTGTTAGGTTTAGGCAATGGAATCACGAAAGGAATCAAACTAATGGGTTTAGGATTCTTACCTCAAGTATGTCTCTCAAAACCAACACAACCAACACCGCCAAATTGGAGAAAAAGGCTTTTAAGGTTAGACTTTTTAGGGTTTTTTTTTTGGAATATGAGTGAAATAATCAGATAGGAAGTAGAAGAATAGAATAAACAATAAACTAATTAGTGAAATTAGTGAAAAAGTAGAATGGGGAAAAATGAAAAACTAAAGAAGGGAAGAAAAGGGTTTGTCATGCAACAGAAACGACCCAAGTGAAAACAAAGCAAAAGGAAAAATTATGGTTTAGGCATTATTACATCATTATCCTTAAGAAATTCAAAAAACCTTTTAAAATAATTGTTTAAAATTATATAAGTAAAGCTAAAATAGTACTTAACTACTAATTTTAATGGATTGATAAACGTATCATGTATACACATTTAAACACGATAACATGGTTACCACAATTAATTAAACGTGTTTTAAATATGTTACTCATGTCTAACACAATCAAAACACGAAACACGATAAAATTAAACTCAAACCTGTTTAACCTCGTGTGTTATCGTGTCATGTTCAAAATTGCCAAGTTTACCAAAAATATTTAGGGAAGTCCTAATTTTTTAGGAAAAATTGGTTTAAGGTAAATTATCAAACCCTAAGGCACCAACAAAGAAGTAGAAATTTATTTTAAATCAAAGCCATCCTGAAAGTTAGGAAAAGATAGAAGAGTTTTGAAAATGAAATGACATCAATTAGTGACCAGACCACATCGCGCTTAAATGCCTTGGTTCAAGATAATGTGATCATTACAAACATAAAAACAACACACACAAGTGTCGCAGAGCATTACCAGTTTGAGAAAATTTTACAAGCACTGGATAATCGCATATCTTGCCTTGGGACGATTATCAACCACGAAGTGTTGAGCAACTTCGAATATGTCAAAAACAGTATAGATCCGCTAGAGCCAGATAGCAATGAGCTTCACAAGGAATTGCAAAACAGGTGAACAACTTAATTCGTCGCAATGTGGGGCTAGATGAATTAATGGCATTTATGCAACAGCAACAATGACAATTGATAGAGGTTGTTAGAGGTCTCGAACAAAGAGTTGCACTTGTAGCTGACAAATGCTAGGAAGTTGCACGATGTGACTTCCAAACTAAGCAATTTGAACAATGGAGCTTTAGCACTAGATTGACAATCTAGATGTCAAGTTCAAACCCCTTGTATCCTATGTGTGCCGCAAACGAAGAGACCATGCACATGGGAGCCATGTACTTGGATGTCATAAGCCAACCACAAGCTAGACATCCACATGTTAGAACACATTCGGACTTGAAAGTGCTCTCGAGATAGCGAATGAGGGGTTATTTCAAACGAACCCACAACACTCATGCAGAACACACTTAAAACTGGTTGTGGAAAGAGACCACAAGGCAAAAAACGCATTGCTTAAATTGAGTGTGAGAGAATGCCATGGTCCACGATCTCAAGACTAGTTTAGCATGATAGAAGGCTCATACCAACAATACACACTTGTGTCGCAAATTGCCCAAAGGCACAACTTGAGTCTAAAGTGACATCACTTGGGGACCCATTGACACAACTAGCATCAGGTCACTATCGATTGAGGATTTCTAGATGCCCCACACATGCAAACCCAAGGGCCATGACGCATTGGGTTGCATTTCATCAAACCATAAATACATCACGCCACCCAATCTCACAGGATTATGGGCCAAGTGCAAAAAAGTTGCCCGTAAGGAAGATTTACATAAGGAATCCAATTACAAGAGAACTGTTTGCATAAAAAAAGTTTGATTAATACTAAAATTCTTGTGTATTATTATTATTATTATTTATTTTACTTCTATTAAGACTTTAGGCTAATGGTATTTAACCTAAATATACAACATTTATTTTATTTAAATTTCTTGTTAACTACTCTATTTATACTAAACAATAACAGAAGAGTTATTTTAAGATTAAGAAAAACTATAATAAAAAATTACACCCTTATGTATTAAGGAAAGGCTATAAATCAAATTGCCCAAGTAATCAATAATTCAACTGTTCTAACAATTTAACTTATTTGCTTAAGATCATAGATCTTCATTTTTCTGTTGAGAATAATATAATTATTTTTCTCCAAAATTCTTTTCTTCAAGTTTAATTACTTTCGATTCTGCATTATTCATAAATATTTAAAGTTAAACTTGCTTAATCTTTCTATACACAAGACTTAACATCCAAGGAATCTTAGTTAAAGTTCCAATCCCGATATCACCTTCCATATCAATATTTCATAAAAATTCTGATCCTCGATCCCTCCATGTCTTAAAGGCATCGAGATGGAACAAAGGGCAAACTTTTTTTCATTAAATTCATATGGAAAACTTAGCAATATCGGGCAAATAGTAAAATCATCCATTACCAGCTACGTGACCCTGCACTTCTAGTGTTACATCTTAGGGCAAGAATAAAACTCCTAAGCTTATTAAATCAAAATGAATTCATATCAAGAATACTCTAACTTTCTCATCAATTGGCAGAACCATTTGCAGAACCATTTGCAGAACCATATTGATGTAATTCAGCGAGATCACTTTCAAAGAATGCTGAATGAAGAGCCCTGACACACTGCTCTGCTTCATCGTCGTGTACAATCAAGGATATATTAACCTAAGAAGTAAAACCAGAAGTTGAGTTAAATGGGTACAAAAACATCCCATGCTTTAGATGGAATGGTGTTTTCAGTAAGTCTATTGTATTTAGAGTGGCAGCCCAGTGGAACCGATATCTAGTTTCATATAAAGGTGGGTTACATGGAATGGTGCTTTGAGAAAGTCCTCTGAAAGAAAGTGGCAGCTTCAGGGCACTAAACATATGTAATTGTCAATTTTAATTATGCTTACAGGCGCAAGCTAGGGTTCGGATGGTAATGAGAGTGATGCAACATACGTAATTAATATCATACCATGCAAAGTCAAAATGAAAGAGAAATAGAGTTGTGGAGGAAAGACCTTAGATGCACCCTGAGAGATCATTTGAACATTGACGCCATTGGTCCTAAGAACACGAAATGCCTGCCACAATATTCAACTAACAATGAATACCAAAATAATAGATTCATAAACAAGATTGACATCCAATGCAGTGATAATGCAACCTTGGAACTTTCATTAAAGACAAGCCCCATGCTTGGTTACTCTGAGTCTCTTCAAATCAAATTAGAAGATGATTTAAAAGTTTTACGCTGGTTTGTAAGCAATATGAGAGAAGATAATGCAGTCAATACCTTCTCCAATACAAGTGAGGACCTCTGGAAGTTCCCAATGAGAGAAATGATGGATCTATGCTGAAGCAGATCGACAACAGCAATTTTCTCAAGTTCTTCGACAACATGGTCAAGTTCCTGTCAAGAGAAAATATAAAACATTGGACATCGTTCAGAATCCTTCTGCAGATCAAGTATAAAACTTGCACATGATATTATCAGTTAAAGCATGAAGAATGGTATCATATTCTTGCCTGCTGAATTAACTCTCGGCTCCAAAGTTTTGATGGATCCAAGGTCAAGGAAATACTGACTTCACTAGTAGCTACAACATCTACTGAGATACCTAAATCTTCGAAGATCGAAAATACCTGGACAGATAAAAAAATACAAATCAATTGCATAATAGAAAAACCAAGTGAACAAAGAGCATTATTAAAATTAGGACATGGCCTTCCAACCTTTGCAAGAAAGCCAAATTGACCAAGCATGCGTGTGCTGACAATATCCAACATGGTCACATTCCGTTTCAAAACAATGCTGGTGAGTACTGCCTGCAAGTACTCAAAAGAATGATTAAAACAGTTCAAATTTCATTAAAGAACACTATGCAAGCAATTAGCTGCACAAACCTTACTCAAATCTCTATCCCTGGTGATAAGAGTTCCAGGAGCATTAGGATTGTAAGAATTTTTAACCCTAACAGGAATATCACCCTCTCTAGCTGGTCTCATGGATTGTGGATGCAGAACCTGAAGAAGGGCAAGACAAACATCCAAATTTCACTCAGTTAGCCATGCTTATATCATTTAAATGATAATTGCACCCAAAGGCATACACACACACACACTCACATGCATATATGTATTGTTTATCAGAGGGAGCACTTGATAGTTAATAAAAAAGACACAAGGAGAGGAAAACAACAGCAGCATATGGATATAATACCTGAGCACCAAAATAAGCAAGTTCAGAAGCCTCTTCAAATGTCAGATATGGGACAGGTTCTGCACGTGCATATATGTTAGGATCACAGGTCAAAACTCCATCAACATCTTTCCATACCTGTAATGAATAAAAGAATATTGTTATACCTTGTTCAAGCAAAAAAAAGGTACATCACGCTGGAAACAGGGTATAAGACTGTGAGTATTTGTTTTAGTTACAACTTTTGGTCCGCCATACATTTACACATATAGATGCTTGTTGATTAAGAAAAAGGTACTACCCACATCAGCAACAGATGAGAAAAACTGGCATGGGCTACGTTTGTGCCTCAGCAGGTTTATGACTTATACACGTTCAGGCCTTGAACATATGCACTGACCTGAATTTCTCGCAGCCCCAATGCTTTTCCGATGGTTGTGGCTGTCAAATCACTCCCACCCCTACCTAATGTAGTAATTGCACAAGATCTCCAGCCCTACAATCAGAAGGTAACAAGATATAAAGATTATCAAACCCCAAAGACTCTTGTTTAAAAATGAAATCATTTCAAAAAAATACCAGCAGCTGTTATACCTTTCCAAGGAAACCAGTGACAATTGGGATTGCAGGATCACTGATCCAATCATCATTTAACCCTTTTGCAACAGCTGGGTAAGTTGCTTCCAGAATATCTGCATTGGTGAAGTCATCAGTGGTAATGAAACCAATTTCGAAGGCATCATACTGCAAAACAGGATACTGAGTCATAATTTGCACTACTTATGACGGTGGCTGTGAGGAAACACGGAGAATACAGTACATTGTATCAATCATGATAAAAAATGAAGCAAGCAGAAATTAAGTATCGTAATGAATGCTGATTTGTATTTTGAACCACAAAGATATTCTTAGGAATGTTTTATTGAAAAAAGAAGTCCAAAATAGTTTTCTTGATGAAAGCTAAACAAGTGGTTAAATTACCTAGCAGCCAGACCAACAACATATAAATTTGGATATAGGAAGAAAGAAAACAAAGAAACATACTTGACGGGCCTTAACACCAATTTTATTCAAATATGCTGCAAAAATCCTCGTAGACATGCACTCGCCAAATGAAACTAAATAGTCCTTGGTTCGTAGTGTTAACTCTTTCATCATAGCAATCCCCTTTAAGAGCTGCTCCAATTCTTCTAGGTGTCCTGCAAAAAGGGTTTTTATGTAAAAAAGGAAAGACAGCAACCAGCGTAAGCAAGCTTACAGTAAAAGACAAGAAGAGGAGATATGATGATAAAGTGAACGAAGCAAAAAGTTTCTTGAGGTTAGAAAGATCGAAGAATTGATCTTACGAGCAGATTATAAACTCACCATCAACAATAGACCTGTCCACTCCAAGCTCATCTGCCGTCCTGGGTATTAAAATTGAATATAAGAGATAATAAATTTACATTAAAACTCCTTACTTTTACAACTCAAAGCAAAGAAGTGAATAAAAAACTATTGCCCTTGTTCTTACCTATAATGCAGCTCTTTTATAAAGCTTAACTCTTCAATAGTATCTACATTAGTGACACCACAGCTAACTGCCTTTTCTCCAGCCTAACAATCAACCAAAAAGAAAAAAAACCCCAATTTCATAGTTAAACCTTCTAGTTCTAGAGTCCAAAAAATTAATGAGTAAAAAACAAATAAAATCCAAATTAAATAAGGATTACCAGCAAAAGCTTATTGGTCGTCTTTCCCATTGCAGAAAGAACAATGACTGGCCTTTCATTGGGGAAACTAAGTATAAGGTCAGCAACCTCTCGCATTCGCTCGGCGGAAGCCACAGATGATCCACCGAACTTCATTACACACGTTAATTGATTCTCTGCTTCTCCGGAACCTGCTTCCTCAACCTTATTCCTTTCAATCACATCCACATTTCCTCCTTGGCAACCAACTTTAAAACCTCTACTGTTGCAACAATGTCTTAGATTCCAACATAAGTTTGAAGAACTGGAAGACCCAAATGCAGCAAAATTGAGCTGACTCGGCAACGTCGATCGGCACGGTAAAGATCTCCGCTTCGGAAAAAGATGAGACGGAGCCGTTTCCACACCAGAAAATTGCAACGGACAAGCCGCCATGCTCAACGGATCTCGCTAACTAGTTGTTTCGACGAATAATAAACCAAGATAAAAAAAAATTCTCCAAAGATCTGATTAGAAAAGGCAGATGGAAAAAAAAACGAAACAACAATCAGTCAGAAAAGCATGAACAAACAACTCGTCCTGTTTGATTCGAGAACTACGAAATGGGAAAATCTTAAAAAAAAAAAAAAGAAAGAAAGCAAGAAAGAAATAAGAGAAGAACAAGTTTCCTTTCTGGCATCCATTTTGGCGGCAACCAAACAGAAAAGAGAAAACTACATACCTTTGGAGAGCGGGAAGGAAGAATGTAGGATTTGGTTCTCAAAAATGAAAGCAAAAGCTGTTTTGCTTCTTATTATTGAAAGGAAGAAGGCGATCCTTCAGAGATTTGAGAGGAGAAATTGCCCCGAAGGAAGCGCGAGGAAGAAGAAAAAGCAGGGGGAGAAATGGAAAACAAAGGACGCCGCCTTGCCTCCCGTCCCCTGCTCTCTCTTTCTTAGCAAAACAATGCAACGTGTTTTCTTTGTTTTGTCGGAAACCCTTCCCTTCTCCCCATTGTTTTCCCTTTACATGCAAACGGGTGGCCAAGATTTCCAACCCCGACCCTTTAGTTTGATCTGACGGCAGTGGGTCAATCTGTTGGACCGTGGCGCATTGATTTTCAAACTGCCTTTCCGTGTTTCTCTTTTTTTTTTTTTTTTGGTCTTTCGCTAAGTTGGAATGTATTTATCGATATATGTATATATATCGATATGTATATATCGAGATTACATTACATATAAATCTTTTTATTATTTCATTTAAAATAAAATTATCTTTTTATTATTTGAAATTAGTGGATTTAGTAGTATCATTTTATATATTTTTAATAGATATAATATTTATAAAAAAATTAAAACTACTTAAAAAATTCAAGTAAATTCTTATATTTTTATTACTCTCAATTAAACTCTTACATTTTTATTTTGAATCCAATAATCTCTTAACTTTTTATTTTTAATCAAATAAACTCTTA